TTTTTAAGACATCATCTCAGCTTCTGGATCACCAATGTTGCCATTTTGCTTTCGCTGTTTTCCCCTTATTATCGGCACAACTTTTATAACACAAAAAACATCTTCTTCCCAAAGGGGTATGGGCCGCAAACACCATTGTGACATAACAATGGTCATTTCGCCACGGCGTATATTACACCGCAATTTTCACAGTGGTTCAACGTTTGTTTTCTCCAAAAACTCTTTGTAATTCCGAGGAGTCTTTTTTGTGCAATATGTTATCCAAATAAAGGACTTTGTCTGATGACTATAGGCTTTTACCTGCTCATCTGAACATGACTCCAATGATAAAATTACATGAGAATTACTCTTTCTGAAACAAAGCCACATATCTCTCACTTGGTCACTGAAAAACAGCAGCAGAAGTGTCACTAATAAATTTAATGAATGTATAAAGTACTGTTTGTTGCGATTTATTCTGCTTCAGCCAATGGCGCAACCAGTTTTTTTTTCGGTGGTTGATACTCTCTTGACAAAGCGTGTCCTTTCAAATTTTACCCGAAAAAACAACCTATGCTCAACAGTAAGACAACGAATTCATATTCTATCAACTGATGACGGTTAAATTTTCTAGAAATTTGTACAAAATCAGATTCCTATTCCTAACACAAATATATTTCTGTAACGTTTCGACTGACCAAGGTCAAACTTCCTCAGACATACATATTTCAACTAAAGCAAGAACAGCAATTGCAAGCACAGTTAAATTGCAAGCACATTTATAAATTAAATGTGCTTGCAATTGCTGTTCTTGCTTTAGTTGAAATATGTATGTCTGAGTAAGTTTGACCTTGGTCAGACGAAACGTTACAGAAATATATTTGTGTTAGTGTGCAGCAAGACTATTTATTGAATTACTCAGGATAGTTATCTTCAATCTTGCTACAGCATCCGTGCATTATATGCATACCGATCCACCGACGCAAAAGCATAGAAAACGGAAAATTAGTTGGTCTTGTAGAAACCCAATCGATAGCACAATATATATATATATGTCACAGACTACACCTATCTAAAAATATGCTTCAAGTATACATTTCAAAATATATCAAAAACTGTTTGCCGCCCTCGGCAGAATTTACAAAATGCAATGTGGCCCTTGAAAACTCATGAGTTTGACACCCCTGATCTAGACGAAATATCGATCTCGAGCAAATTTTGAATGGCAAATGCTTGCGGCTCTCTCACAATTCAACCACAAGATTTAATAACATTTGTAAAAAAAAGTAGCCTACACCCATCCCATTCAATGCCATTTCACTGACTTTCGTTATGTTTTGTATGATCGTTTAAAAAAACTTTTTTCGAAAAAGGGCTTTTAATGGAATTTTTTAATCAAGATGTTTTTCTTGGGGATTAGCTACTTGAACATTATTTTTGAAGGGCGTCACAATACAAAGAAGTTTGAGAACCACTAACCTACGTTATCAAGCATGCTTTGCCGAACTCCAACGATTTGAACATTCAAAGCTAAATTTGTGCAAGGCTTTAAAACTGCAACCTTCGCTAAGTTACTGTTGAGCATAAAGTGAGTTTTATGGTTATATTTGAAGAATATGCATTTCCCACTCTGGCAGATAGTTACAACGGCAGAATCAATGATAAACAAACTTTTGATTGTTTTTGTGTTAGCAGGATAGTAAGTACGACACGTCTTGTAAACGCGTCATTGTTTTTTTATTTACTTGTAGTGTGTCTGCGGGTTAATTCAATTTTTGTCTCTTTTTTCTTAGCTGTAATGAGAATGTCTGTACAATTGTGATACTTGTTCTCATTTTTGCTGTTTTGTTACGTTTTTGATACAGGTACTATTAAGTAACCTCATATGATTTTCGGGAAATTGTTCATTCTTTTCGTGTCCATATATTTGAGCATTGCTCTCTTGTTTTAAAGGGAGAGCTTATGTTTGAATCATTTTTGAAATTCAGGCTAGGTGTTATTTTTGGAGAAACACGGTAGTTGTCAAGTCGTGTGTTTCTGTGTCAGTGTTTCTTAACCTGGGTTCGATCGAACCCATGAGGTTCGGTGGAGCTGTACCAGGGGTTCGACGAAGGTCCTGCGAAATTGTCGTGTTTTACGAAGTATTTATATTTCCGAACCAATTAAATATGTAAAAATAACTATAATTTGAAGCAGATATTCAAATTCCAAACTTCAGTTCATGTTTTATAAAACCTGTCAATGAGAGACGTCACGTGCTTGGATGTAGACTTCAAAATACCTAAGGTTGTTATTACAAACCTCTAATTTTTAAACCTGGATATTTGTGTAAACGGCATGGTTATTATAACCTACTAATGGAACGTAGCTCAATTTTACAAACAAGTTGAATGCATTAAGTGCACATAAGAAATGAATGAGAAATCAGGGCATGTTTGAATTCCACTGAAAGATAGTATTTCCAGGACAGAATATGCCATGCGGAGCTTTGCATAAAAATATCATCCCCGTCGACGACCTTCTGTGAAACAATGAGGAAATGATTTGATTCCCATTTGACGGCAAGTTCAAATATGTGATGTGTATGACTCGAGCCAAGTATATTTTTAAGACATCATCTCAGCTTCTGGATCACCAATGTTGCCATTTTGCTTTCGCTGTTTTCCCCTTATTATCGGCACAACTTTTATAACACAAAAAACATCTTCTTCCCAAAGGGGTATGGGCCGCAAACACCATTGTGACATAACAATGGTCATTTCGCCACGGCGTATATTACACCGCAATTTTCACAGTGGTTCAACGTTTGTTTTCTCCAAAAACTCTTTGTAATTCCGAGGAGTCTTTTTTGTGCAATATGTTATCCAAATAAAGGACTTTGTCTGATGACTATAGGCTTTTACCTGCTCATCTGAACATGACTCCAATGATAAAATTACATGAGAATTACTCTTTCTGAAACAAAGCCACATATCTCTCACTTGGTCACTGAAAAACAGCAGCAGAAGTGTCACTAATAAATTTAATGAATGTATAAAGTACTGTTTGTTGCGATTTATTCTGCTTCAGCCAATGGCGCAACCAGTTTTTTTTTCGGTGGTTGATACTCTCTTGACAAAGCGTGTCCTTTCAAATTTTACCCGAAAAAACAACCTATGCTCAACAGTAAGACAACGAATTCATATTCTATCAACTGATGACGGTTAAATTTTCTAGAAATTTGTACAAAATCAGATTCCTATTCCTAACACAAATATATTTCTGTAACGTTTCGACTGACCAAGGTCAAACTTCCTCAGACATACATTTTTCAACTAAAGCAAGAACAGCAATTGCAAGCACAGTTAAATTGCAAGCACATTTATAAATTAAATGTGCTTGCAATTGCTGTTCTTGCTTTAGTTGAAATATGTATGTCTGAGTAAGTTTGACCTTGGTCAGACGAAACGTTACAGAAATATATTTGTGTTAGTGTGCAGCAAGACTATTTATTGAATTACTCAGGATAGTTATCTTCACTCTTGCTACAGCATCCGTGCATTATATGCATACCGATCCACCGACGCAAAAGCATAGAAAACGGAAAATTAGTTGGTCTTGTAGAAACCCAATCGATAGCACAATATATATATATATGTCACAGACTACACCTATCTAAAAATATGCTTCAAGTATACATTTCAAAATATATCAAAAACTGTTTGCCGCCCTCGGCAGAATTTACAAAATGCAATGTGGCCCTTGAAAACTCATGAGTTTGACACCCCTGATCTAGACGAAATATCGATCTCGAGCAAATTTTGAATGGCAAATGCTTGCGGCTCTCTCACAATTCAACCACAAGATTTAATAACATTTGTAAAAAAAAGTAGCCTACACCCATCCCATTCAATGCCATTTCACTGACTTTCGTTATGTTTTGTATGATCGTTTAAAAAAACTTTTTTCGAAAAAGGGCTTTTAATGGAATTTTTTAATCAAGATGTTTTTCTTGGGGATTAGCTACTTGAACATTATTTTTGAAGGGCGTCACAATACAAAGAAGTTTGAGAACCACTAACCTACGTTATCAAGCATGCTTTGCCGAACTCCAACGATTTGAACATTCAAAGCTAAATTTGTGCAAGGCTTTAAAACTGCAACCTTCGCTAAGTTACTGTTGAGCATAAAGTGAGTTTTATGGTTATATTTGAAGAATATGCATTTCCCACTCTGGCAGATAGTTACAACGGCAGAATCAATGATAAACAAACTTTTGATTGTTTTTGTGTTAGCAGGATAGTAAGTACGACACGTCTTGTAAACGCGTCATTGGTATGAAATTGTTTAATGACAATTGGTCCAGACAGCAGTGTACTATTCTTGTTTATAAGATTTATAAAGAATCATTTATTTTGTGTTTTCAGCATTTAGCTTAATTTAGAAACAGCGAGTAATTACCGTAACCGACTATTTAGGATTGTTTAAAAATGTTGCCCTGAATTTCGACAATTCACAAAAACCAGAATCCCTCGTGAATACGGGCAGGTCGGTTCTTCAGTTATTCACTATTCTCAATAAAACATCGACATTTGGTAATACAATATTTCTCAAGTGTTATATACATTGATATACGCGTTGTAATTACAAAGATATTACGCAATCCTATAATATACCCAATAATGACTTTAGCAACTTAAATAGTACCAGATATCTTTAGGTTTGTGGGTCACCACGGTAATAGCATGTTCTCTTCTAAATGTTGACACAATATAAAACCTTTTTTCGGAACTCATTATCAAGGCCAGCAGGGACTACGTACTCCATGAATACATATACAGGGCTGTTGATAACAGAATAGTATATCAAGCAAACGCTAATTATTCTCTCACTCGCACATAAGGTGCGTCATCTTTCCCATTCATGATTCACTTAGCTTTTTTAGTATTCTTAATTTCTAGGTTTCAAAAATAAATTTTTTTACAAGAAAAAAAGAAATTTGAAAATTATATTTAAGATGAGACAAATTTTTAATATTTCAGTTTCAAATTTGTACCGTTTCCTCGAAGGAAAATTAAAATGAAATCAACGAGAAATCAGGAAGCCCGTGATAGACCTAACAACAAAGATAAGCTTCCGGACATCACAAAAAGAAATAAAGTATCAAACGAGGTAGTGATTCAGTGGCTATCTTCGTGATATATTAATTGAATAAAAAGATTTTATGAGTGGTTCAGGAATATGAACCAAGGTTATTCGGTTGCCAGATTCAAAGAAAATGTATATATATATATATAGTTTGATTTGATTCAATTGATTTTATTTGCTGATTTACAGCGTCTAATTGGGTATATGTGACAACTTACACAAAGTTCCAGCCGAAAATAGTTGATTTATTAATTAGCACCGCTTTTATTTACTCCACTCGATAAAATGGATCCGGTTTTGAATGATTACTTGAATCGTAATGACACTCCTCGTCCTACATAATCAGTTGTATCTTGTGCGTATACGACCTAAATCCGAAATTATATATATTTTTTTATTAAGAGTTTATGAAATTAATATGCATATTATGTTTAAGACTGTTAACCTTCAAGATTTAATTTTTATATATCATTTCTAACAAACAAAAGCATAATAATCAATGTTAATTTTCAGAATTTGGTGGAGGAGAATGAAATGAAATTGGTGTTCCAGCACTTTGACGTGGATAACGACGGATTCGTTTCAGCCGAAGATTTGAAGGCTTTAATTTCAAGTCTTGGGGAACAAATTGACAATAACGAACTCAAGGCAAGTATTATCATTTCAGTCATTACTCGCCTAATTTTGTCCAGCTGTTGCTATAATTGTTTTTCATAAATTACAGGACATGTTACGTGTGGCAGACGCTGACGGAGATGGCAAAGTAAGTTATGACGATTTTACCTCAGTAATGATAAATTCCACCAAGTTATTTTCACCGAGTGATACATTGACGGAGAATAGTTCGAATTCATGCTTGCGGAGGCATTCAAAGAGTGAACGACACTTGAGGAATTCTTCGCCTTCTAAAAATAGTAAAACTCGAGCAAACGCGGATAAATATGATTCGAAACAACGGAAAAGAACTTCACGCATGTTTCATCTACAAGATCAAGTGTCTAAAGTTATGATGTTGATAGCCGTCAAACGTATTATGCATAAAGATTCGTGGAACTGATATCACCATAAATATCTTTTTGTCAAATTGTTCAGAGAAAATTGAACTAAACTCCCGAGAAAGAAAAGGTATCAGGACTACTTTCGCAGTCATGACGTTACTAGACATCAAACACATTATGCATGAAGATTATTTGAGCTGATAACACCATAGAGTACATTTGTTGCCAAATTGTTGAAAGAAAATTTAACTCAACTTCTAAGAAAGAGAAAGTATCAGGAAACTTTCCTGGTTAATTTTGAATAAACATTTACCAAGGGAAGTAATACACATAATAAAAATATATTTTGAAAATAATTCAGTTCACTCCATATGAATTCTGTACTGTTTATAGAAGTAGTATTTTTAATGATTTTAGTAGAAGTCAACCACTAAATTTGATAATAATTTTGCAATTTGTACCATCCGACTAGTCGTAAATTTGTGTGTTCCAATTTTATAAGCTTAAGATTGGTATACTTTATTCTCTATTCATTTTAAAATACATGAAATATATTTTTCCATCTTGTAATTTCGATTATGTGTGTATGTTACAAAATTTAGTAAAAGACTTGGGGAAGGTGGGCCACGGGGCACAGTGGAAAATCAGCTCTCACACTCATATTATATCCGGAATCCGGTACGCGTTTTGATCCGCCTTTCGGTGAGTTACGACGTCCCCACAAACGGACAGCGGCCTTGCAGAGCAACGCAAGCTATGAGATGAAATTGGTTTTGGGTGGTTGAAACTATAATTTCGCTATCTCAATATTTTCTTTTTTTTCTACTTCGGGCTTTCCAATGGGACAAACCACTGTCCGGTATTTTATTTTTTAGCTTTAGTCTACTGTGAAATATTCATAACGTAGGCGAGTGAATGTGCCTTCTTAATCTCGACGTGGGGCAGTCTAAAAAGTATTTGATTCATATGGGGAAAAATGGACCGGGGTTCAGTGAGAAAGTTATTTTTTGTTTAATATTAAGGGGAGCTCTTGACCCATGCCGCAATATGGATGATTTTCTAGATTCCAAAATATTTTTTTAGGGTGTATTCGAAAAAGTAAATTATACATTAGCCCCGTGATGTCAAATGAATGTGCAGGTTATAGACCAATAAAGACGCAATAGAAAAAAGGTGTCCCAACCTTCCCCTATATCAGATATTCCTGATGAACAATTCAGAGCAAAGAAGTCAAGAAAGTTGGATAGAAGAATATTACAGTTTCTGAAGAATATTACAGTATATATATATCAGATGCGTATGAGAAAAGGCTTGGTCGATTATGAAACGATATCAAATTCTCTTCTGTGATTTTCGCCTTTAGGCAATAAATCAAATTTCATAGGCATAAAATTCTTGATTTAGGTATTTTTCTACCCTATCCACTTTAACAGGTTACGGTAGAATTTAATTACTGTGCGGGGGTAAATGAAGTCACATGCTCATATTGCACAACTGAATTTAAATAAAAACCAATGGAAACTAGCAAGTTGACAGGTTCTGCAAATGGAATTGAATAATCAGTTATCGTCTTAAAGAGGAGGGGTTAATAAACCACCTTGGACAGCCTCATCACCAACGAACATGGTGAAATAATTGCGAGGTAGTATGACAGTCTTTTGTTTTTTTCACAAAACTTCCTCAAACATTTTAAGGATTCCATATGTCTGGTGTTCGTTTTTCCTAAATGCATGAATAAAATACCACAAATAAATTCACTTTAACATTAATATTATTATGCTTTGATAGTTTCAATTAAATTCAATTTAAGTTATGGCGCTGACGTAGGTTTTAATATTTAGTGCTGTTTACTCGGTTCAGAAATAATCATCTACTTTTGATCGGAGAATTGCTTCTATTAAGTCATTTCTGTTTCCCTTGTTCTGATATCTCATGAATAATAGAATTTTAAAATGAAGAGAGATCGTTTAATGCGCGCCCAATTCATAAAGGCCGATTAGTCACGATTTCGTTAAATACACATTGCGTACGAATTTTGAATGGGCGTAAATGGCAAAATCAAATACGTTTGACAACGATTAGTGACTGTTATCCTCGCCGTTACTGATTTAAAATTGATGGAGTAACAATGATGAGAATGTGTTGCTAAATTTTAACATTCCATCTCCATGTGCCCACTATTATTATGTGGAAAAGAAATGAACATAAACACAGGATTTATTTATAAATTTCGGGCTAAATGAAAAATTAGGACCTAATTGCTATATTCTGCCCATTACTTGGCGTTTGCGGTGATTGAAAGTGAATGGCGCCGACCACTAAATTTCAATGCTTCGGCATAAAATTCCTGACGGGGAAATTGATCGATATTCATTTTGTCATGTTGTTCAGAATCCTGTCAAATGAGATAATGAAATTACAGCGGTAGTCCGAAATCGATTGCACTTGACAGCGCTACACGCTGACATTATTTTGTTTTTCCCGGTGTGGTTTTGAAATCAAACTGCCCAAATATTTTTATGCGAGTCTTGTTGCGATTTTCTTCATTGGAATTTCCGGGTGTATGTAGACTAGAGTACGCTAATTACGTTTATTTCACTATATATTAATTTGAATAATTCACCAGAATACTTTAAGACTGTGTTGACATGTAAAGGTGATAAATCATCGGCAAAAAGAAATTCCATTGGTTACCAAATTCGTTTGAGCTAGAACCTAGAGGTTGTTTACCGACATGGCAATGCTGACTTATAGATTATATTACCGGCATGGAAGGATGTTGTAAAAAACTACCTTCCCAAATCTCATTTGTTTACCAAATTTAGCCTAGCTAACGTATAAAGTTTTCACTCTAGCTCAGCGACGTGCGACTGTTTATCGCGATGGGCCAAAATCTGAAATTTTGGAGACACTGAAGACCAACAAACTATCGAACAAACACCTTTCTCAATTGCAACACGGCGCGAATCAAGTAATACGAGTATACTGAATCTCGGCAAACGAAATTTCATCGTGTTGTGACGTAACACAACGTCAAAAATGCCGGTAGTGCCGTTGAAAATAAGAAAAAACATTCCAAAATAATGGGGTACTGAGTATGTTACGGGCAACGTAAATAAGTTCTGCCATACGTGTTGCCAACTTAGTAATAAAGACCCAGTTAATAGTAAAACGACATATTTACTGATGAATTTGACCTTTGCCGCGCGTTGAATTTAATGGAACCCACATGTAGTCGGATTGAAAACCGAAAGAATACATAATTAACACTACATTCACGGATGTTGTTCAATGACAATTATTGTATTTCCGAATTTAATGATGGTTGACGTGAAAACAGAGCAAAAAATTTAGATTGAAAAATGAGACAACTCCAGTCGCACAAATTAAAAGCCGTTACTGATGAATGTATCCGGCATGTGTGCATTTTCCCTGAAATAATCTTGCAACACTGAAATAAATATTTTGACAGCACTGAGTAAATCCCAATCACGTACCTATTTCTGTTCATCTCCTGTGTTCATCCTTCAATATTAACATTATTATTAACAATATTAATTCACATTATACAGAAATTCGTGGTATAGTAAGTTTACAGGCCTACCTGATTCCTGCTGACATATGTGTATTATGACAGGAGTAGGTATTGGAGTAAATAAAATTTCAAATGATTGAGTTTACCAATATCATAAAATCTTCCACATATTCAGTGATTATGAAAACCTATGTGATGACAATGATATATGTAGGCCCATTTTATCGTGCCCCAATTTATGTTTTATTTCCCCCAATGCGTATTTTATAGGTATACATCTTATAATCATAGGCCTTGCATCGAGTGTTTGAAATATATGTTAAATCTAGTTTGAATTTGGAAATTTTAAAGAATCGTTCGAAATACACCGCCCGACAACACGCGCGACACTAAATCATATCTTACCACTACCGGCAGAAGCATAGTTCGCGCTAAAAGGTTTTTACGCGACTTGCGAGTTTGAACTGATATCTGAACACATATACATCGGAGTTGGGTAGTATGTTCTGGGTTAAAACGCAACTAAGTGACTGTTTGATAACACTTCACTTTAATTACTTGATATATATATATATATGACATGTTCAAATTAAACTCTATAGGAGGTGACGGTTATATAAATTTATGATATTTTACAACTGATGACCTAAACTAATCCAATGATTCCAATGCCAGAATAACAGATTCAACAACGAAAGTTGAGGTTAAAATTGAAATATGATGTTTTATCAAGTAATTTGCTCACACATGAAATTAAAGCATCTTCAAATCAAAGGGACTTTTATTTAAGTTGGGTAGGAAATGTGTAAATATATATATATATATATCATTTCTTAATCACGCTACTTTCTGTCACAGACGGATGCTCTACTGATCCGTGAAGATTCTTGGGAATACCATCACTACTTTATCGGATTTTGTTCCTAAATTATATTAAATTCATCATGGTCGTAGTTCTCAAAATGCCGACTGTCGCAAATAGTCTTCAGCTATATATATATATGGTAAGAGGCCCCATCAACACGCACGATAGATATATTTAAACCATGTGTGCCTGAAGCTATTAATTGTCAGAACTCCATGTAGATCAGCTCCGTCATAATCACATTTCGAACAAATGGAAAGCATATATGTCATATTTTATTAATGGAACGTGTACGAACCACTCGACTGAAACAAACGAAGCAGGTCCTTTTTTGTCTGTCAAGGTTATCTATTCATTCCCTATATCTTTGTCTGCTTTCGTCAAACAAAATAAAGTACTTTCCAATGTAACAGTCGTCAGTTCATCAATTATTCCTTTCACATATGAGGAATTTATTTTTGGAATTTATGTTTTAAAGAGATGCCATACTTGGTTACAGCTCACGTAGATCTAGTTAATGACGAATCATGTTTTTTTTTAATATCTATTTTTTTTTTCAGTGTTCACGGAACTGAATGTTTTTATCTGCGTTCGTTGCTTTTGTAATTGTTTGTGACCTCACCTCGAAAAGTTCAGTTTTTTTACCTACATCATTCATCTGATCATAGTTTCATAAACCACATGACGTATATATATTTATATAACATAATTCTTTAAAATCTTCCTGGCTATTCATATAACGTTGTTACTTTCAGATTGTACCGACTTCCCAGTTTGTATAATTGTTTTACACATACTGAAATCCTGCGCAATGTGAAAAGTTGTAATTAAATTAGCCTTTCTCTGTGGATATTTTTATTTTAGGCAATTGCTTGAATTTGAAATTAAATACAACGAGGCACCTTTACCATAAATAAAAATCTGCGCTGTTTTGCTCCGATTGTGTAACGTTAGGAAATATCCGTAAAATTTTCTGAACACTACTTGCTTTGACGGCGACGTATGTCATTGGTGCAATTCTTTTTATTTGTTTGTAAAAAATATTGCAATGTACCCTTGTGTTAGCAGCTGCAACATCTGCGAAGTATAGTTGAGATATAGCAAGCATGCCAGTATATAATAAATATTTTTATATTCATGTTCACAATAATTCAAGTCAAGGATTGTAAATGTATAATTATACGACAGGCACTTTTAAAAAAATTATAAACGCAACAATTTAGTTCCATGAACCTTTGTTCAATATTCTTCTTACAGCTATTTGCATTCTTATTCTTGACACTTGTTCTTGAATCTGTAGTAGACGGGATCTTCTCCGCTGTTTAGAATTATGTTTGTCTTCATTTACTTGTGATTTGTTTTTTCTTGAAGGCGATAATGTATGAGACGTAGATTCTATTTTAGCTTCTGTAACGTTACTTTTGTTGTTGGTCATATTTTTCGATTTTTCACAAGTTTTGTTGGAAGTATTCGTCATTACTCTTATGAATTCATTGTAATTAACTTTGCCATCGCCATCTCTATCTGCTTCTGACATCATCGCCTAATGAAAACAAAATACTTGAATAATAGAAGCAGCTAAACGAACAGCTTTGAGAAACTATGTTTTTGAATTGAAAAAAGGGCAAAGTTATAGCTAAATAAATACCGTACTCGTATTCTCACTATCTTCGAATATCATTTCGAATTTATTACCATTTTTTTCATGTTATTGAAGTTAAATTATTGACGAACAGTATGAAACGATGATTACATTGATTCATTTCATTGATTTCATTCAAGTTGAGATTGAAAATTAGTTATTGTAAAATGCTTAGGACAAGTCAATTAATGAATTTTAAATTTGTGCATACTTGAAGTTCGTTATCGTCAATATTTTCTCCAAGGCTCGTTAGCAATTTTCTTAAATCGTTTCCTGATATGAATCCATCAGCATCCGTATCAAATCGCTGAAACACTAAATGCATTTCTTCATCGCGTATCCAATTCTAAACGAAATTATATCATACATTTTTAATATATATAATATAAACGAGATGGAATAAGTAGGCTACATTTGCAACTTTGTACGTGTATATTAAACTTTAAATATTTTACGTCAATTGAATATTATCAATTTACTTACCACTGGATCGAGTGAAATCATAAGAGACACAAAATCTTCAAAACTTATTTTGTCCAACAAAGGTCGATCGCATTCAAGAATAGCCATGTTTTTCGCTACTTCTGTTATTTTTTCAATTGATGAATCCAACCCTACTCGATCCAATATTTCGATGAAATCCTAAATATAAATTTATCGAAATTAAGTTTTATACTTAAATCAGCATTAACTAGTAATTTAATTATGATCAGTATACTTTGAAAGTTAAACTTACATTTAATTCTATGCGGCCAGTTTTTTTCACATCATAAAAATTGAATACGTCTCTATATTCTTTCATAAGGTCGTTATTCTGATAATATTGTGCTGAACCGTGAACGACTCTGTTTTTTGGCTCTTCATAACTAACTTCACAAATCCCCATGTTCGTCACTTACGGAATAGAACAGCTCTTTGTTGCAAACTGGATAAGAAACTAATGCCGACCGATCGGAAAACGGCTTATATATGAGCTGAAATTTTAATTTTCTCCGAAGATCTATCTTAGCGCAATTTAAATTAATACTCCATGGTACCCAGGGGACTCTCAAAATTGTACAAATAGAAAAATTCAGCATCAATGACGTAAATGAAGCGCCCCGACCTCGAGAGAGAATAATTTAGCAGACCTCATCAACGGTTGGTGATTTCCGACGCAAGCGGATTATCGTGAACCCATGCACTCAACCATTCATTGGCATTCTCACATATTAGGACATGTAGCATTTACATTAATGACAGTGAACAATTATGACATATATACCAATGACATAAAATTTCGAGAGACTTCATCCGAACATTAAATGATGTCCGTTACCCCCTCTCAAAATAGCAAGTTTACGCTGCTTATTTTGAGTTCACCAAAATTTTGATGAATATAAATTTGAATCAACTCCTGTTGCAGAACAAACAAAGAATAAATTATATTTTAACATAAGATATTTTTCTTGCCTATTATACCAAGTTCAAAAATTGACATCTATACGTTTGAATAATCGAATACTATCAATTGCTCATCATTTTTGAGTGTGATCGTATATTTTTTAACGTAATATATTTCATCACTTTAAACGTTTTTTTTTCGGAAGCAATGGATAAACATTGATGCGTCATTGCTTCGCCCTGAACCACGTTCGAGATTGGCTTCATTAAATTTTAATGACGTCCTATACACGCACGTTCAAATTCTCACCAACGATTATATTTTCCTAATATATTAAAGAAACCAGCCATCAATTTATAGCTTCATTAACTTAAATAATTATTTCAAATAGGACCAAACAAATCAATACATGGCGATTATCATTATTATATAATTTTTTAGTTTGTGAAACTAGAAGGCTAGACATTTGCTCCGCAGCGATAGCGTAATACCATCTGTTCCAAGATGTATGCTGCAATCATATCAATATTACAATCTTTTATGTATAGTCAAGAGCTAAATATGGTCAGGTACATTTCTTGATTGCAAAGTTGATGCCAAATATAGGTCAAATTTAGTCCAAGGGGTGAATTCACCCCAGGTTGGAAAACCCATGGGCTGGACATCTAAAATAATTTATTCAACAGCACCATTCAATATAAGTGTATTATATTTTCAAATACAAACCCCATTCGCCAAGTTCACAATGTCTGGTCGTATTGGATTATAGTATATTAGTCAGAGATAGACAAATTCTCACTGATAAATATGTACATCTGGGAGGAATATTATTATAAACGATTTAATACTTGGATCATATCATATCATCCGTTTTTACCAAATCAATTCTAACAGAAAAAGAAGGCAATAAAATTTTTGGTATTCTCTACAAAGGTAAAATTTACATTTAGTCAGATGACACGTAATTGGAAATTTTTGGAGTGGGCCTAATTTCAAATTCACTACCGGACACCTTTATGAAAATTTAATGAAGGTTGACGCAAACCAGACGCAAATCTATTTTCTCGTTTTTTATGGTAAAGTCACTTCGTCTTTTGTACAAAATCTTGTTAACATTTTTGACAGTAGTTTCCCAGTCACAACATCCTCTTTAGAACATGAAAACTCGGCGACATAATCATCTCTGAAATATTTAAAGACATTTTAATCCATTCCAATCTTATTTTATGCAATTTTTATTTGTCATAAATCGAAATAAATGTAATAATCGGCGAGTTAAAAAAGGGAACGGAAACATAAAGAAAAAAGCGTAACATCCAATTATTTTATTCCCTTTCAAATATGAAGATTCCCTGTAATAATTGCATTTATTTTACATTAAATCAGCAATTCAACGAATTTACCTGCCGTAAAGCTATTGAATTTTATATTTTTATTTCCTAATTTAGGAAGTGGCACCTGTTGTTTGTCATCTTATCTTGATGATGCTATTTCGTAATGGACAATTAACAAGCATCGATTTTTCACGCAAAAAAATGCGTAATTGTTTTATGTGGATCTCTAAAAGACCTTTGGTTTAGCATGAAGTTTATAATTTCGATGACATTGAGGACACCGAAAAACTTTTAAAATATCACCTAGACCTAGAGCAATATTTTGTTTACTGTTTTACAGAAGGGTTATTGGAATTCTAATTTGATTTATATTTTTAATCTGAATACAATTTTGCGTTCTTAGATTCTTCCTGCGCATATTTGAAAACAGCTCGCTAGAGTCCAGGTGGTATATCCGCCAGGTGGCTTCGTCAGTCTATATTCGTTACTATACCTGAATGTGATCGACTATGCAGTAACAAAATCTTGGTAAAACTTGTATTATGTGAAATGAGTTCCAGCACTTTTGTTGCTATAAAATACTTATTGTATATGGCAGTGTTCTTTAGATTTTTGTCATCATGACCACCCGGCACGGACAAACTTTTTTGCGACCCGCCGGAGCCTGTTTACATTATTTTTTCGGTAATACCCTTAGATGCGATTTTATCGACAATGTATTTTTTTTGCAATATGAGCAATCATTCGCATCCTTTTTTTTGTTATATCAGAGATAAATTTTAGCTTTTGCCCGCCATCTAGCGGATAATCATAGTACGGAATGTTCACTCATATGCAACCAGAAAAATGCAGCATTGTTTTTACGTTGTATTGTTACAACAAACGTTTTTATGCATGCTTTTTGTGCACTATATATATATTTTCCAAGGTTATCATACATGTGGGAAATCCCATCTTTTGCATCATATCTCATTTATGAATCATTTGTATACTCTATATTTCTGGGATATTAATCGAACCTAATCCATACAGAGCTTCTCTTTTTAGATTGCCTTTTGTTACCTTATATGTATATTAACATTACTAACACGATTATGGTTTTCTCTGGGTTTCTGTGAAATGCAAATTGCTAGAAGGAATAGCTGTGTTTTCTTGACATCTATGTTCTTGTTTTGTGTATTTCGGGATATTGCGGTTTTATCATTATTTGAGTAACAGAATAATAGCATATAAATATAAAACGTATAATATGAATAAAGAGGTGAATCATTCATTCCAAATCTAATACAAAAATCCCGTTTCGTGACAATTGAAATATACATGTGAATCAGAAACCACATAACCGCAACAAAAAATATAATGTTTTCTTTGTTTAATTTTTATCCTTTCGTTATGCATTTTGTTACCTTTTCGTGTACATAAAAATTCCAATTCCAATTCTAATCTAAAAATGTATATATGGAAGCACCTACTGTCTCATTTGAAATTCATTCATAAACCGATTTCACTTTTGACAATATAAGACAGGACAGGAGCATTGAAGCGTTCAATGTGCGTCGTGTGACATTTAGACGATTCGTGGTTTCCTGGTATGGAATTTCGAAAATCACTGATGTACGATACAAGCAAAGAACTCATTCCCAAAAGAAATTAAACCGATAACGAAAACGTATTGTAATACACTTTTCAAAGACGTAACAACACATCATATGAGGACGAACGCCAAAAAAATGCCAATCATCACCTAAAAAAGCAATATATATAGAAGTTAATGATTTCGTATTTCAAGAAGTTTTTTGATTAATATTAACAGAGTTATTACTTGAGATTCTTTCGCGCAATGTGATCCCCCATAAAGCCACTTTATGTCATTTTTAATAGTGTAATATATTGTAGACTACATAATTGAAGAAAATTGAAAAAGTTGTGAAATTCAAAATTTCCTGTCACACACAATGTTTTTTGAGACAAAAATATTTAAATTTGAATATGATAACATTAATATGCTAATTTTGTTGTGGTTACAATTTGGAGAAACCCGTTGACTAAGAATAATTTCCCCTATACACACGTCACGCTTGAAACATACTTTGATTTCCGTGGTTTTGAAGCAATTCCAGGAACATCTGTGATTGCAATTGCGTTTTAGTCAAATGAGACGGTGCGCTATTTTGCCATAGTATTTTCATCGATTGCTTTTATTTTATCCAACTTGTTTTTTTACATGCTAGTATAGAGTATAAAAAAATATATATTTGTATTCTGGTGCTAGCTGACCTTTTTCGATGAAAAACTTTATTTATCTTCGTAACCGACCTTGAACCATGACATTTTTTAAAACTCTATATCTTTATAATGTTATAACCAGTCTTGTCCATGGTGCATATTTCCAGTTCCATCTCGTCACACGGGATACCCATGGCAATATTGAATACAGAATACAGTTTATTTAATTTAAAATTAATAAAGTAATGGGACTCTAACAGTTGAAGACTTTATACCTATTTTTTGAAACATCAGTCTATTGGCATATTTCACCAATCAAAACATTAGCCACCACAATATCAGCATGATCCGGAACTTATAAGTTTGATTGGCGATATGGAATGACGGGCTTACAGAGTCTATACTCAGTAATGTCTAACTTCAAGCGCCTGCTTATCTGCCTACCCAATTCAAGGTAGCAATTTAAAGGGATATTCAGCAATGAAATAGATAGCAGGCAGCAATAAAACAGATTACGCCAGATTTTAACTAGATTTGAAATAAAATTGACGAGGACGACAATCAACACCCGTTAAACCAGCTGCATTTTAAATCGAGTTGCGAATGCGCATTAAGTTAAAAAGCCGCCCCTTATTCATAAATTACTCATAGTAGGTTTTAAATACATAATGTTAACTTTGGTGACTTATCTATCCGGTGTCCCGGCACAATATAAATAATAGATAAAGGTATTATAAATAAATAGCACGTAAAACGCCCCCATAGGGTAAAAAGTATAAAAACTAAAGGTAGCTCCGTCGTAATTGAGTTGCCATGAGAAATACAAATGCCTGCTGTCCCATTGCATCCCATGGGACGTTTCCTGGATTTGACAACTGCGTTTGTTTTTTCCCTTTGCGGAGAAAATCCTTTATTTTTCAAGTATTTCCGTTCATCAGGTCACGCTGACGACCTGAAAAGGGAAACTAGATGTGGTTAGTGTGTGATCTGAGTACATTTCTGAGAACAAGAAACCGTTTGTCGTTCGTCCTTGAGTTATAGTCAAAATAGGATCGGGCGCTATAGATTAGAGAATATTTGCTGGTTGCTTTCTTTCTACATAACTTGTACTGGGCTCATCTGTATATGTGATAACTTGGCTGGAAATGTATGCTGCGAATTCTATTTTCCTAAATCCGTAATTTTTTTTGATGCTCTGTTGTAGTCTCAAAATGAGTCAATCGAATAATAATTACTTTTCTTTGAATGTGTAATCTACATAAATGCTTAGCTGTGTGTTGCCGCAAGAATCTACACTCCAAAATCATTTCTTTTTCTTTGAAATGAATGAATAGTAATGCCATTGTATATCAATGAGTTCCAGCATTTTTGTTGCTATAAAATGCTTATTGTATACGGCAGTGTTCTTCAAATTTCATCATCATGGCCCACTTGGCACGGTCAAACTTTTTTCGTGAACCCCGAGGGCTGTTTGCATTATTTTTTCAGTAATACCCCAAGATGCGAATCTATCAACAATGAAATTTTTTTGCAATATGAGCAATCATTCGCATCTTTTTTTTTGTTACAGCAGAGATAAATTTTAGCTTTTGCCCGTCATCTAGCGGATAACCATTGTGTGGCATATTCAACTTATATATGCAACCAGAAAAAATGTAGCATTGATTTGACGTTGTCTTGTTACAACAAACGTTTTTATGCATGTTTCTGTGCACTATATATATATTTTTCGAAGGTATCATACATTAGGGAAATCCCATCTTTTATACTTACCGGGGCATCATATCTCATTAATGAATCATTTCTTTACTCTATATTTCTGGGATATTTTTCGAACCTAATCCATACATTACAGAACTTCCCTTCTTAGATTGCTTTTTGTTACCTTATATGTATATTAACATTATTAACACAATTATGGTTTCGATGGTTTTCTGTGAAATTCAAAATTCTAGAAGGAATGAGCTGTGTTTTCTCGACATCAATGTTCTTGTTTTATGTATTTCGGGATATTGCGGTTTTATCAATTTGAGTACAAAATAAAAGCATATAAACATAAAAAGTATGTATAAAGAGATGAATCAGTCATTCCCTATCTAATACAACAATCCCGTTTCGTAACAATTGAAATATACATGTGAATCTGAAACCACATAACCGCAACAAATTATATAACGTTTTCTTTGTTTAATTTTTATCCTTTCGTTATGTATTTCGTTACATTTTTGTGTACTTAAAATTCAAATTCTAATCTGAAAAAATATATATAAAAGCACATAGTATCTCATTCGAAATTTGTTTATAAACCGATTTTTCTTTTAACAGTTAAAAGACACAGGAGCATCGAAGCGTTCAATGTGCGTCATGTGACATTTCGACGATTCGTGATTTCCTGGTATGGAATTTTGAAATCACGACTAAAAAATTGGAAAAGTTCACAAAATTCAAAATTTCCTGTCACTTTTTTTAAAATTAAAATATGATAACATAAATATGCTAATTTTGTTTTGCTTTCAATTTGGAGAAACCCGTCAAATAAAAATAAATTTCCCCTTATACACTTTTCCAAGAACATCTGTGATTGCAATCGCGTTTTAGTTAAATGAGATGGTGCGGTATGACCTATTTAGCCATATATAAATAGTATATTCATGGATTGCTTTCAATTTATCCAACTTGTTTTTTTTTAGATGCTAGTATAGTATAAATAAATATTTATTTGAATTCTGGTGCTAGCTGACCTTTTTCGATGGAAACTTGATTCAACTTCGTAACCGACCTTGAGCCATGACATTTTTCAACACTCTATATCTTTAAAATTTTATAACCAGGCTTGTTCATGGGATATCATTTCCCGTTTCATCTCATCCCGTGACTGCACGTGATAATCATGAAAATATGGAATACAAAATACAGTTTATATTCATTTAAAATAATTAGAGTAACGGGACTTTACTTTTAGATATTAACCGTTTTTACATCAACGAATGAAGACCATATGAAGACATATTTTTTGAAACATCAGTCTATAGGCATATTTCACTTCTCAAAACATAAGCAACCGCGTTATTAGCACCACCCGGAACTCATAGTTTTGATTGGCGATGATAGTATAGAGGGGATAGACCCTGTCTGCGCATTCGCTCACGTGTTATTTAACACACGTTTAATTGAGCATAACTCCGATCTGAACTCCTCAGAAGTCAATGCGCGCACGATATATTGTAATGCCAAATGTTCTTATATTGTAAAGTTGCACAATCGTATTAATCCAAATAACAGATAACGAATTACACTTAAAACCCTAACGCAAGTGTATGTGATAAACCAAATTTCTAACTAACAAAGAACGAACAAGACGAGCAATACTTGAACGAGGGGAATATCACAAAGGAAATACATTGAGGCAAAGACATTGTTTCAGACAAATAACATGCACCATTAACAATACGTAGTGAAAATATTGAAACAAACAGTAAATGTCCTCATGTACTAGCTACAATAGGCTCACAGAGTCTATACTCAGTAATACCATGTCTTCAAGTGCTTGCCTGATTGCCCAATTTAAGTTACTAAGTCAAATGGAAATTCAGCAATGAAATAGATAGCTGACAGCAGTGAACCAAATTACGCCAGATTTTAACTGGATTTGAAATGAAAATTGCCGAAGACGACAATTAACAACTGTTAAACCGCGCTGCATTTCAAATCGAGTTGCGAATGCGCATTAAGTTAAAAACCCGCCCCCTTTTATAAATTGCCAAAAACAGGTTGTAAATACAAAATGTCAACTTTGGTGATTCATCTATCCGGTGTCCCACCACAAATTAAATAATAGATAAAGGTGGTATATAAAAAAGTCGAGTAAAAAACTATCAAAGGGTGAAAAATATAAAAACTAAAGGTAGCTCTGTCGTAATTGAGTTGTCATGAGGAATACAAATGCGTACTGTCTCATTTCATCCCATGGGACGTTTCCTGGATTTGACAACTGCGTTTGTTTTCGCCTTTTCGGAGAAAATCCTTTCACGTGACGCTGACGGCTTGAAAAGAGAAGCTAGAGGTGGTTAGTGCGTGATGTGAGTACATTTCTGAGAACAAGAAACCGTCTTGTGTTATAGTCAAAGTAGGTTCGGACTTAAAATCTACACTTTTTCACTTTCGTTATCAATACACAAATACACACAATATACGCAAAAGTACGAATTTAAATATAATATGCATTACTTTACTTAAAAATCGAAAATATTAAATATTAAATTTATAGGCTACAGATAATAATTCATTTGAGGGTTTTTTGTTTCAAATTTAAATCTTATTATTTTACGTCACCTTACGTCACGAAATTTTCACCTTAAAACTGATGTACATATATTCAAAACGAACACCATTCAATATTTTGTGGTTATATAAACTACCACACAGTCTCTGGTTTTCACCTATGTTTACGTCATTACATTAAAATAAAACACAGGAAGGCGTAAACAGTTCTTGCTATTTGATTTATGGTAGTTTTCAAACTGCTGAAATTTACATAGGAAATATGAGGGTTATAATAGGTTCAATCCGCTTGTAATGCACTGCGCTCTGAGAAACCTGAATAACGTTGAAGAATGAGGCAGTAATCTGTTATTTTAGTGTATTTTGCGGACTTGCATCAGATTTAATTCAATCGTACAATTTTGATTTCATTTGAAGCGCAGCTATTGCGTTACACACTCCAATTTGATCTCATTGCCAATGTTAATCATTTGTTATACCGCAGTGCGTGATGTCACGATGTAAATCAATTTTACATTCGTTCTGTCTCGTAAATAATTCTTGTGGTTGGAATCGACAACAGTACAGTTAGCTCTCAACATATCAATCTCACTACATTAGTATTGTAATCGGTCAATGATTGGATTTCAACAATGTAGTTCATGTAAACATTGTAATAACGGTTTTTTCGGATTTAATGTGCAATATTGCGACACAATAGCTGCGGAGACAAAGGAGTTCCATATCAAATTTCAGATTCCGGATTGATAAAAATTTTGAACCCGAGTTCTCGACATCAGTATAATATACCACCAGTATAAATATACCAGTATAATATAACACCAGTATATGCCGATTACGATTTTTAAATGTTTGAAATTTTAATTTCAATCTCGACTGATAGACTGCGTGTAATTGGAGAATGAATACACTTTGGTCCGAGGTACCCCATTTCTAAATAAAAATCGTTTATGCAAAACTCAATAGAACTAGTGGTTACCATTGCCGTACTAGTAAGGATTTATTTCACTCAGACGTTATATCATATCCGCTGCATCTAGCAGCGTCTTCGGCTGGTAGTAAGATCATCATCTATTTATATACTTGATTGGCATAATTTCTACAAATTAAACTTGAGGACCGGCATAAACGAAAGAATAGTATTGTATTGTCATCAGACAGTTGTCCCTAATATTATTATTTTGTATTTCATTAAAGCATATAAGCATACGGAAGCATAAACTTAATTTATTTTATGCAATGTACATGCTGAGCGACATCGAAATATTCATGCCATATACATATATATAGTATGCGATATGAGTCGATTGACGTCAAAATATTGGCTGTTGATTTTGAATAAAGCTACCGTGTCTCAAACAATGGTTACTACTAATTGATAATTTTTCTCGAAGCCTCAGTCTCTTGTTATTGAATAGAATCATCAAATTGATGCAGTATATATCCATCGATCGTCATTTATTTGTCAACATAATATAAACGTGTCATAAAAAAAAGTACAAGTAACAAAAGCAAACTTACTTGAATTGTGTGACACAAGTCGCGAGGGACCTCAAAATGTATTCAAACAACGACACCTACAACGCCGATTCAGGTTGTGCAAAAGGTTAACGAAACACAAAAATCAAATATTTTTCCACTTTTGGAAAACAAGAAAACTACCAAATATATATCATATATGATTTATATAAAGATATGTATATTTGAATGAAACGAAACTCTAAGAAATTTAGGTCAGAAATGAGAAATGTAGTTCGGAATTGGTCCACTCAACATTAGGAATTGGTCCAATGTGGCTAAAAAAATGTTTATTTTTATACTATAATTATAATGTTTATTTTTATACTATAATTATAATGTTTATTTTTATACTATAATTATAATGTTTATTTTTATACTATAATTATGATGTTTATTTTTATATTATAATTATAATGTTTATTTTTATACCAAGAATTGGAGAAAGTGTCTGAAGTCAGGTCGGGATCAAATTAACAATTCGAAGTATTACTACTATATTTATACCAATCCATCCAGTATACACAGTTGTGTAGCTATGACAGATTTAGTGAGGTTCTGCAATACTCTTGGATCTACGCATACTGCTATAACATCACAAACTTCATTAATCGAAAAACATTTTATAGTGTAACCGTATTTAAATATATAAATATATATATGGGCATTATCAAAATTGAAAAGTAAAAGTATCAAAAAATAAAAACGTACAAAAATATTATGATGGTATAAAATATAGTGAATATTGAAGCGCCAGTATTCTATAAAATTATGAACAATTTGGTTTAGTAGAAAATTGAAAAATTTAAAAGTAGCGCTGTATCAAAATTTGTAAGTGAAATATGCAATGAATGCGGCGAGGTTACTAGTACAATGGGCGCGAATCCGATTTAATTTTTGTTAAACTTAAAAGTTAAAAATGATGTGAATTTGTTCGTAATTTGTTTCATCGATTTGATAGCTTCCCGACACGTTGAGGATATCTTTGTATTCTTTGATTTGGTAAATTCGTGAAAGTCACTGTTGCTGTCCAATTCCACAAATGTGGTGATATCAATCGTTTTACTCGTCATTGAAATACAGCGGAAAAATTCGTGCTTTGTTAATTTATAGTTGGTCTCCTCCCTTGTGTGCTGAACTGAACCAGTCAAAAGTCTAACGAACTCTTCATAGCTAACTCTTCCGTCTCCATCTTGGTCAGCTAGATGTATCATTTCCTACAAAAAGAAGAAGAAAGTTTTTGTAATAAGGAAGGCTGTAACTAGAGAGGAGCCTATAACGTGCAATTGTTTACAAAACCACGTGCTAAAAATTAGAATGACAATTTCATGAAATTATATATTGGCAAATCTATCTGCTCACTGAAGGATTGGTCTACTCTTTATATTACGTTGTTCATATATAGCTGATAATAATGTTGAGTAGTGACATGGGTTTGTATCATCGATATTTAATAAAATGGTATATATATATATATTGAACATGACACATACCTCTACTTCCTCTTCTGATACATTTTCTTCGAGTTGCAACATTAAGTTGTTCAACTCCGCCGCTGATATGAAACCATCTTTATCTTTATCGAACATTTGGAATATCTCCAATATTTCGTCTTCTGTCACACATATCTGTATTGAAAAATAAGCATACATTATTATGATACCACCAAAAACAAATATAGCATTAAGAAAATATTCATCGAAAAACCAACTCAGAATGAAGCGTAGAACAACTTACCGTGCGAGCCAAGGAAGCAATGGTTATAAATTCTTCGAAATTGACAAAATTATTGTTTTCATTTGCAGTTCCCATATTAACTTCAAGTATCTGATGCATTTCTTTCTCCGAAATACAGCACTCGAAATCTTTTAAAATTTTGCTGACATCTTCCAATAAAATTGTTCCTGATTTTTTGGGATCGTATGCATTGAATTGCCTTCTGTAATCTAATATTTTATCTTTTGGTAAGTATTCGTGCATTACTTGCCACGTATAATACTCAGTAATGTCGGTGTTGTTGTCAAGCCTTCCCATAGCGGCGGTTTATTTCAATACTATTTCTGTGAATGTTGATCGAGAATGAAGATTTTGTTTGACAAAACGGCTCTATAAATATATCGCTTTTTCAGATCACATTCAAATAAGCTGAAAAATTCATGTATGACCAAATTGAATGGGTTGTTTTACCGAATGGTTTTTTGGATATAATTACTACTACGATTTGCGTACGTTTTGGTTCGTGTCAAATCAGCTGTTTCCTGTTTTGAATTATAGTGGAATTTAGCACGAATGTCACATAGGGTATCCATAACTGAATTTCATATCGAATCAATCTTTTATATTGGGACATTATCATTATATTTTAGAATGAAGTAAGGGCAAAGAAACGGATTTTCCCATAAAATATATACGTAACGCACATATCATATAAGGACTGACTAAGTTTAGATTTTTTATATCGGCAAAATTTGTATACTGTATATATCAGTGATGGCGAACCTTTTTCAATCAATAGGTCAAAAATTATATTTTTATCACTGAATAGAAGAGCGTGGGTCACAGATATTTAATCAATGTTAGTATCTGTAAGAAACTTCTAAAATAAATCTTATAGGCTAGGTGTTTAGGTGAGTGAACACGTACCGCTTCTTCCTGGCAAAACCTTCCATCTTATATACATTCTGTACGTTTTAAACCTTATCTAAGGTTGTGTTTGCTCTCCTGATTTCATAATCAATTTTTTTTATTTATTTTTACCAATCATTTTATTGTTATACTAATTATGGAGTCGACATAAACTTATACTAAGCTTTGAAATAAAACGGCCCGAAAATTAAGAATTTGAATGTGAGCTATCGCAACCCTAACTGCCCAACTGACGGTACATTATAATAGTTTAGTTATTGTTAGATTATTTAAGGCCGGTTTTATCAATTTTCATCACTGATATGCTAGCATTTTATTTTAATTTTATTCGTGCCTTGGCGGGTCACGAGTAAAACGCGGGTCAGTGGTTCTCCATCCCTGGTATATATGATGTATTTGGTATCTGTGTATGGATAGTTTCAACTATTTCTATGACTCAGAGTCACAAATGATCAAAAAATGTACATGGAACATATATAATTCAGAGGAGCCGAACCACTGACCAGCGGGTTATGTAACCTTTATATTGTTGGCGACCCGTAAACTTAAAAAGGATTGCAAAACAACAAACAAACATTTCTGTTATAAAAAATTGTAATTAGGCGACCCATCGAATTGAACAATGTAGGCTACTACTACATATGTGAAGCTCAAAACATGAACAGCAATACCAACCCCGGATTGTTGTCTTTTTCCTGAAATAAATATGAAATGAAAAATTGAACCTCCGGAAGTATGCGGACCAAGATGGCGCACAACTTTAACATGGTATGTGTGTACGGTTAGGATTCAGGTTGTGCGACATCTTGATGCGCATACCTCATGGAGCAGTGGTTCCCAACCGCCGGTCCGCGGACCAGTGCTGGTCCGCGAAGCTTTTTTGCCGGTCCGCGAGAAATTTCGTTGTTTTGTTGTTTTTATGCCGTCTCAATCGCTTTACCGTAGACAAAGTTGCGTTGGCTCATTACGCAATTCTCTTCCGCCGTCATATTGCAACGTCTTTCGGGACATGTTGGCGCCGTCTTACGCGACATCTTGGCGCCGACATTTACACTTTCCGCTTTTCCGGCTTCGATTCACGTGAATGCGCTCACCAAATCTCGCAAAATTAAGAAGCCTAAAAATCGCACGCGTGCCTTTTTCTGTTCTGCGTGTTCCTGATTAATATGACCATCCATATAAAACGTAATGCATATCTCCTCGTTTAAACCAGAAAACCGTCAAGAACAGTATAATATTTCCAGTGAGATATGACCTTGTTGCCACCCCACAGGTGGTCACGAGACGCGCAAAAAAAGCATGGGCCGCAGAGATCTTTTCCAGACACAGTAGGATTTTGAGCCTGATGCCAAGTTATCGACGACTTGTCATTGTAATGCAAATTCATTTCGTTGAGGCGTCGATCAACTGAAGAGGGATTAAGATGAACTAATGAAAAAAAAGCTGATTAAAATGGTGATTCTACTTTGCAGTCCAGATTAAAAGAGAATTACCTATCACAATTTTAGATATCTCTGATAACGAATACCCATCGCCAAGTAATCGAGCAATCAACTGTTGTCCGTCTTCTCAGCCAGTTACTGCGTTATGCGAAAAAAACATTTTCATCACTAGATCCAATTAAAACGAAGCAACGAAATCGGCTGCACACGGCTGCAGAGCTACGTGTAGCAAAAACTTCTTTGAGGCCTCGTTTGCAATCTTATATTGGAAACGAAACAGCAGCAAAATTCTCACAGGAGTTAATTGTGCATGTTTTTAATGTGAGATATTTTATGCGTGCCTTTCTCACGCATAATGGGTACCCAGCACTGCATTTTATTACACAAATATATGGTATTATTATATGTTTCACCCATTTTAAATATGTGGTCGGCACATTATTTGATAGTTTTTCTCCGCGTGAAATGTTTTAAATTGTGCTTTTTTGTCTAGAAGCATATTGAGTGCCCGACATTGCATTATATTACGCAAATATATGTTATTCTTTTCTGTTCCGGCCATTTCAACTTTTTATCGGTCCGCGAGTACATTCAATCTAAATTTACCGGTCCGCCAGGGTAGAAAGGTTGGGAACCGCTGTCATGGAGCACCGAAAAATTAATTAACCTTCATGTAAAACAAAAAATTAATACATATTCGGTTATTTGCATATTTCGCAAAATTATCGTTTCCTTCAATTTATTTCAAAATCTTTTTTGCTTCGATTTAACAGTTTTTAATGAGGTTTTAAAACTTATTCGCGTGTGCTTGGTGTTTATACTGAGTCAACCTGAGTTATATTTACGGAGATTACCGTGCTTTCGACAACCCTCATGATCCCACTACACAATTTACCTAGATAACTGACATTTAGCACGTTTGCGTCATCATTTGTATACTTTGTGTTCACGAATAAATGATTGACTAAATTAAATATTCAATTTTTGTTACAATCTTTTAGAAATTTTATCCCCAGGTGCAAGTGCTAGCGGGTTTGAATTTATCTAAACGCTTCTATCGAGAATTTTATTCTGTGCGAGACAAACTTGTATTTAGAAATAGGAATCCTCTCGTACATGATCATCCCCGCATGGGATTCGAACCTGCGAACCCACGAAGGGTAATCAGAGATGCGGTGGCGAGCGTATTCCTAACGCTTAGCACGACGAGCCATACCGCCGATAGACGTTTTTTGTTTGTTGCCCAATACGAAATAACAAAAAAGTTTTTGTATAAAACTTATCGCTATGATCATCTTTATTTGATATTTATATATGTATGCTTTTATTGTTTTATTGGTTTGACAAAATGAAATAAACTTTCTCCCTCTCTCTTGTAACTGTCAATTAGATATGTCGTGTTTATACTGCGATCCCCACTCTCTTGGAAATGACTCATTGCACCGCTACTATTTGTTTTTATTTGTAGGTTGATGAAGCAACCACTGTGAAGCTAGTAGCAAACCTTCTTCTAATTTTGCGCAGCGGTGCGTATAATCTCGTTTTTGTGCTCATTGAAGGGTGATATGACAGTTTTGTGCTTATTGAAGGGTGATGGCGTAAAACATGGGCGAGTCCTAAATTCCACACAGAGAACAATGATTAAGTTTGTAGACAGGCTGTGGAAGAAATACATCACGATAAGCAGTAAATTCAAATATATTTGACGGCAACTTAGGATACAGAGTGGAGAGCATCCCGGCGGTTTGATCGCCTATGCAGTTTCATTTGTCATAGTACGTTGTCGAAATTAAATATACTCGGCTGATAAAATTGATCAGGACAAATATTTTGACAAAAAATGTTAGATTACGTATTCATAAGCTTGAAAATATAACGAAACGAGTGTTCCATGTCACCTGCATAGGTTTCGGTAATAACTGCTAATTAAAAGCTAAGTTATGTTCAATTTATGTGACATTTTTTGGAAATACTTCTCATGCCTGCAAACATTTATACAGAAGTGCAAGATGGTACGCGAACTAAGAGAAATAAGCAATATCAACCGAGCCATTGAGTTGAGGTCCAAATCGTCTGACCAACTCGATTTACATTATTAAACACTGTGATACCGATAAAAATTTATATGGTGCCCATTCCGTGATGCTTTATGCGCGCTGCTTATTTTGCTAAAGTGTTAATTCAACCAAGAGCCCCGAGCATTTTTGTATAACTTTAAAAATATTTCAAAACCAGCCTACTAAATTACAACATTTCGTAGCCGTAAAAGTGCTTTACTTCGTTTCAAACTGTGTATTGTATTACGTAACAAACGTTAAACTTCATTATAATATGTCTTAGTAATTTAAGAAGTTTCAAATGCATTTTGTAGTATAAAGCAAATTCTTCAACACATGCAATAAACAGAACGTAAAAATTGTTTTGTTTCAATATGTCTCACTGGCGCTGAAATCAGAAGTCAGGTTATTATATGTCGTACATTATCGTTATATCGTAATTTGGATATTTTGAAATCAGCATAACGTCTCTTCTATATTGGTGGCGCGAAATATTAATTTTTTATTCAAGAGATGACAAATTTCCAGAATTATGTGCAATCGTGTCATTAATACACGATAATTTTATAAAAATGGTACAAACAAAATTATGCAATTTACAAAAGTCAAAAAAGCTAATTTTGGCAACTTTCAAATACCTGCAGCACACTCTCCGCACAAGAGGCATTCGATTTGATTATTTTATGTTAAAGAAGTTTATCTGAAGTTTGCCACACAACTAGAACCTAAGCCTTTTTTATTTTAGAATCTGGGGTATTCTCATAGCGAAAATGGCCTTATTTGGGAAAATTACGTATAGCGAAAAAAGCTAATTTAGTCAAATTTCAAAGCCTAGCAGCACACCCTTCCGCACAAGAGGCATTCGATTTGATTCTTTTATGTTAAAGA